AAATTTTTTTCCTATTAAAGATCTCCTCCCCTTTCCTTACTGTTCCTGGCTTGTCTATCTTTACACGTGTGGAGACTGTAAGACCTCCTATATTGACAAAACCAAATGCTATTTAAAAGTCAGAGCCTATTGGGAATTTCCATCAAAACGCAAAAAAAATTGAGTAACCCCTGTGTTTCCTTTATTCACCAACATAGTGAAGAAATAGGACATCAACCTATGCTATCAAATTTTTCTATCCTCTGCAAGTCTAATACTGACCTGGAATTACTGATTAAAGAAACCCTCCACATCAAACAGCATTATCTAACACTAAACAATGTGCAGTCTTCATTTAAATTATACATTTTTTAATACGTTCTGATTTCTGATTTCACCTTTTTTTTTGTTGTGTTTTCTTGCTGTAGTTTCTCCTCGTGATTACTGTTTTGTGTTTTATTTGTTTAATTATCATTAAATATATTCATAGCATATGATAAATATTTTATTTATCTGTTTTAAGTCTGTTTCAGACTAAACATTTGTAGTTGAGGGATCATAAGAACATACAATAAAAAATTCTTTGTAAATGTGTTTCAGATAGAAGCCAATCCTCATCCAACTAATGCCCCTTTTCCATTTGTGCTTTGTGAATTTAATCTGGGAAGCCAAAACATAGGTAAAATTGTCATACAGATTTTACCTTAGGTATGTTACATCTATGAAGATAGTTTAGCATTATGTTTGTATCTGTATGTGCAATTACCACAAACAGTGGTATTGTACCTGTTTGTCCAAATGGTCTGTCAGTAGTTTTACATTTTATATATATATATATATATACATGTACATCATTTATCAATTCATTTGTTATTGAAATGTACAAATGGTTAGTCAGTAATTTTACAGTCTTATGTGCAGATAGTTAGTTAGTTAGTAATTTCATACCTGGATGTAGATATGGTTAATCACTGTATCTGGATGCCCAGATTGTTACATGGCAATTCTTTTATTTGTAAGGTTTCTCTTTATTATCAGTGAGGAAAGAAATTAGAAATTGGTTAATTACTCATTAAAGTGCATATCATATTAATCATATTGTCCCAAATGATATTAATGAATTCAGCAATCTCATGAAACTTATGATAAGATACTCAAATTGACTTATTATTTATAAGAAAGGTGCCTTATGTTTTTTAAAGTTTCAATTGCATTGTGTTCAAAATTTATTCTTACTCACAATTAGACCATCAGTCTGATGCAGTATTTTAACACCATCTAGTGAATAGCAAGTACTAGTAATAAGATTACTAAAAATCTAAAATTGGGAAGAAGCCCAGAAAGGAACAATAATAAACCAATACCTAACATTACCAGTCCAGATGATATTCCATATTTCAACAAATCTTTAATTGTTAACCTCCTGGCAGTCAGTTCAGTCAATAAAATAAATCCCAATAAAATGGCCACTTCTCCTCGAAATATTATAACTGCAGCAGCAGTAGTAACAATCAGATGAAGATGCTTTTGTCTAATCCAGTAACCATAGGCTAGTAATGCTAAAAAAAAAATATATATGTATGTATGTATATGTATATATTAATGATGCTGTTTTAAACATATATATATTCCTATCAAAAATTATCAAAGTTACTGCTAAATTACATTTGGCATACTATCTAAATGAAAAGATATGTTAAATTAAAAAGCAAATATACTTAAATACAGCATTCCTGAAAACAAAATCTCTTACTATACACTGCATATAGATCATGAAGTGTCTTACATAATTCTATACATATATTAGTACATAAAAAGTATGTTTTGGAGTGTCTTACATAATTCTATACATAGATTAGTACATAAAAAGTATGTTTATGCAAACACATCAAACCTAATGAGAAGATTTCACTAAAAGTACAAGACTACTTTGTTATTTCTTAACATAAAACATGTGACAGCTTACTTAGTATGAGAGCAAAGGTGTTAGGCAAGGGTCTTGATAAATAATACATGAAGTGAAACTGTGATGCTGTGATTAAAATCAGCCAAGTGGTCATAACTTTCCCAAATTCCTTTTCTAAAGCCAGACGATAGGTTTGGAAGGCAAATATAACAGTTGTTCCCAGTACAGCTCGAACTGTGAGGAAATTACAAAGTTCAAAAGAAAATCACGTAACAAAATTGAAAAAATTCATTTCCAATTTAAACATAGTTAACCCTCAAATTACTTGATTGTTTCTATACTATTCAATGCTGGTGGGTCCACGTATTGCATCATACCGAGTAATTTTATTTTTTGCATGTTACAACACTCAAAATTAATAATAAACAAATTGTTTAAATTGTTTTTGTTGACTTGTATGTTATTAGGGACCATGTGATCAATAATGTTATGGACAAAAGTAATTCGGTGCATAAACAGTTTAGAAATATAGATTTCAAAAACAGAGAAGTTTCACATGGAAACAGAGAAGTTTCGCACTGGTAATTCTGGGATTAAATTATTATCTGATAGTGTGTTTTTTTTATGTTCTGCTAAGAATATAAATAAAGGCATGAAAAAAAAGATCACATATTAAACAGGGTATTTTTTAAATTCAAAATTTTTTTTTGCTCATTTCTCAACTAAAAAAGTTAACCCAAAATTACTAAATTAATATAGTAATAACCAATATAAAACAAATTATTCAACAATTTGTACAGCTAGTATACACAGAGCTTGGACTAAAATTGACTTAGGTACCACGTATACAAAATTTACTGCTACAAGAACATATAAGTAATAACTTTAAAACAAACTTAATATCTTGGATGTATATGTAAAAAATGTATGCACTCATTCATTATCAGAAATTAAGTAAAAATTCCAATATTTTGCAAAGAGGTAAACAAAAACAGTATTAATATTAATTGTTATCATATACACTTACATTTAAGTATGCTTGAATTTGCAGTAAATCAATACTTTGGAAGAACAGAAGAAAAACATTTAAGATTTTATCATTTATTAAGATTCATTGCATGTTAACTTTAAACATTCACTGTGATTCAATGAAAGGTTTGTCTTACAGGAAATATGTATCATGTCATTTAAGTCTTAGAAGACTTCAAAGCTCACATGGCAAGAAACATTTACAGTTTCTCCAATGTCAAAGAACAAAAACATATACAAAGACATACAAAATGTAATTAATGAAACTGTTGCAAGGGGATTTTGTCATTATTAATAATTAAAAATGCTTTCTGTATTAGTTTATTACAGTGTGAACAGAAAACACACCATTATTCTAAGGCAAAATTTTGCATGTAATATTTTCATTTTTCTTGTTATAAACATGCCATGGGTTTCATTTTATCTTGAATTATTACAATTATTACAGTTACACTTTACTTTGAATTTTTCAAAGAGGTCAAAATTCTGAGAAAAGCTGTCATCCAAAGAAATCAATGATTGAGAGAATGTTGCTCAGACTACTCTTTTGACTAAGGAACACAAGGCAACTGATGAAGAGAACAACAACGGCCAATGTCAAGAAGCAATTTGATATTCTTCAGTGGCATGGTTTCATTATTAATCCCCTAGGTCAGAACATACTATTACTCTGTTAAATTTAGCATGTGCTTCTGTACATACGCAGAAACCACAGGTACATTTGAAATTATGATTTGCTTCCATCAGTAAATCAAATACTGCAACAACTGGAATGAGTGCAAAAAAATATTACAAGCTTAAATTGAGATTACATAAGTAAATATATGTAACATTACCTTTATCAACCATAACTGATCTGAATCTCTGACTGAACTAGATATACATATCACACACACACACACATATATATATATATATATATATATATATTAGGTCACCCTATACTGTTTTTATTATAAGCCAATATGAAATTTTATCACCAAATCATTGACACATATTACAATTATATATGCTATAGATCTATACAGGTGTTAACTTGTTCCCAGGTAATGCTATAACCTTAATCTTTTATAGGGCTCTCTACTTCTGCACATGTAACAAATGTCCATCAACTCACATCCCACTACACTGGCCCTGAATACAAGTAAGGACCGAACCTGGTGTCAAGGAAGTTTCCATGTGTTAATTAAATCCACTCATTATAGAAATAAATATATATATATATATATATATATATATATACAT